GTCCAGAGGACCTATACAAATTTTTTTCTTTTTGATTTTTTACCTGGATTGCTGAGATGCATCAGGACAATGTGGATTAATTTGCTTTGAAACTGTATTTTGGTTTATTAAAAATTCAGTTTGTCTACTTTCACTTTCAGTTCCATAATTCAATCTCAGTTCTAAAATTCAGATTTTTGTGTCACACATCCTGGTCCTTGAGAAAGCCAGCCAGAGTAATCAAACACAGATCCACAGATTTACGTTTCACTTCGGTGAAGCGTCCCTTCTGTATCTAACGGAGTTGAAGCAATCCACCATAAAAGTGACAAAAACAGACAGTTTTTTTCTTGCAGTGATTAATTTCACCTATATGTAGAAAATGTTACATTTACTTCACATCACGGATCACATATTGATCAGATGTTGCTGCTGACTGATCTATGATGTGATGTAAATGTAACATCTTCTAATCACTGCAAGAAAAAAAAACTCTTTTTGTCACTTTTCTGATGGATTGCATCAACTCTGTTACATACAGAAGGGAAACTTCACCGAAGTGAAATGTAAATCTGTGGATCTGTGTTTGATTACTCTGGCTGGCTTTCTCAAGGACCAGGATGTGTGACAAAAAAATCTGAATTTTGGAACTGAAATTGAATTATGGAACTGAAAGTGAAAGTAGTCAAACTGAATTTTTAATAGACCAAAAATACAGTTTCAAAGCTAATTAATTCAGAAACAAACCATTAAATTCAGTTTCAATTCATTAAAATCAGTTTCAGTTTAGTGAAATTTATTTTCAAACGCATTCAATTTCAAATTATGCAAATTCAGATTCAATCTGAGCAATTCAAATTCACTTCCTGCTGGCACAAGATTTATCCCATTTGGTTGATGTTTCATAAATGTGGGTGCTGGCTCAAGCAKGTACCACCTCTGGCAAACTGCATCTGGGCCACCAAAGGAACATCATTCTTTGTGGCGTTTGGTCCAAGTGCTACTGCTCACATATGTATATGTGGGCCAGGACTGGGACCCATTAAGCTATGAGGAATTTTGGTCAAATCTTGAAATAATCAGTATTCCCAATATGATGCAAGATGACATGCTTACTACATGCGATGCAAATCACTCTCAGCTACTACCACACCAAACTTTAGGTCTGTAAAAGTGACACCCTTTCATGGTTTTAGAGTGAGCAATAGCTCACCAAAATGATTGCACCTGCTCTGATAGGATCGTTTAAATTTAGCTCTTTCCCTATGTTCCTTTAAACTGTTTGAGCACATCCAATAAAAATAAATACAAACACTTTCCCTTTTGCCTAAATTTAATTTCGCATTTCCACGCATTCAGTTTGAATAAGCTGCACTCCCGATAAAGCCTTTCAATAAAAAATTCCTGCTCAGTGAAAAACTTGAGGCAGCCATGGCAGCAGCACTYAAAGTGCTTTGATTGGACGACATACTGTATACATCAAAGTGTGTTTCAGGGAGAAGTGTGTGCAGGTTGTAAACAAATCTGYTCATTTTGAGATGGTTATGCGTCAAAGTACGAATCCCCCGGAGACTCGAAWTTGTCAGTAAAAGCATAAATGATATGCAGCAGGCTCAGGCATTATGAATTCATGTCTTTCTGTGTTGTAGATATGCTTTCTTTATTCCCCGGCTTCATGTTTACGCTGCTATCAGTCGACTGCAACTTTGAGCGCATGTGATRCCTTTATTCTGTCCCCTTTCTGTGACCTCATTTGAGGTGAGGAAGCAAGGGGATAAAGCTATTTGTTCTGCGTTTAGTTGGATTGCTGCTTTGCCCACAGGTACAAAGGCAGCATGAGCACACCCTGACCCCCTCACACACCTCAATTTGTAACCCCCCGCTACAAAACGGCAGATGATAGTTGCGGGTGGCGCTTGTGAGTGTGCTGTTGTGTTAGACTTTGTTTTAGAGGAAATTGGTGTGATGCAGAAGGAGTGCGAGACAGAGCAGTGGGAGGAAAGACAACAAACGCCACACAGACGAGAAGAAAGGAGAACTCTCCTGGTTTTTAGTGAATAGTACCGGCAGGGAGCTATAAATGTGTTACTATTGAGGAGCACACCAAGGCATACATTTTTATTTGATAACAGCAGTAGCTGGCAAACAATACAGTCAYGGAGAGGTGATGAAAATAGACATATGGATAATGACAGAAAATAAAGAAAAATTGATTTGCTTTGCTTTATGTTTTGCTTAATAGATCTTGTTTTTCTGCAAACCCTCCAGAATCATCTCATTCTGTAACCMCTTTTTTTTCTCCCATCCATCTCTCCCTCTCTTCAGCCAATTAGGCCTAATGTAGCAGTAGCCTAATGACAAGGACCCTGGGGAACAAATACATTTAGACTCGCCTCCGGCCATTACTGCAGACACATACACGCTAGAAACGCCACCGCGTTCCAWTTCAAGTTGATGAAACAAATCAGCTGAGAAGAAAGGCTTGTCTAATAATTTTTATGTTCATATTATTTTTCCAGGCAGGTTAAGGCTGCTCTATAGCATTCAAATTTTGTGTGACTAAAATTAATAATGTAAAAATTATATAGGAGCTTTCTGACCATTTCAACTGAATTGCTGTGTCTTTTTCAAACCCCACCMAAAATAGCCAATCTAACCAAACACATCTTCACTAAACTCCACCCGCAAAAGTCAAAATGACCAAACTTATCTTTGACCAACTCCTCCCACACACCAAAACACTCCCACTTAGTGACTGCAGACGTATTCTTACAGCCTTAAATTTTATTTTTACTGACCTCTAGTTTTTTACATATACACTGACGTTTTTTGTAATAAACAGAGAAATAAATATTTATTCAATAAAATATATTCTATCTGTTGTAGACAGGACCTATACTGGCTTTTAATACCTCTGAATCTTTCTCAGTAATTATAGGAGAAACTTGTATCTGCTAAAACGTAATGTTACCTCGTTCGAATCCCCTACTTGAATGGGARGCTTCCTATCCTTGTATTTGCAGCTTGTGTAGACATCTATCAGGAAGATTAACTTAGTCACACAGTATGTATGAGGCAGGAAACACTATTCTATGTTTGGCTGGTAGCCACACTTCTCTGTTCTGGTTTGTTTGTTTCACCAGTGCAACAAAAAGGCTCCACCCTTTTGATTTACTTTACAACAGAGCATAACCTTACGCTTAGCAAAGTAGTACCAACCAAAATACAGCAGTGACAACATTGTACCCATCACTTGAGGAATATCCCCTCAGAAAATCCCCTCATGGCTCTATTTTATTCATAAGAAGGCAATGATAGCAAGAATTGAGGAAAGAAATCCCTATTTTAATAAGCTCAATGGTTATTTTTATGTCCTATCAGTCATTTTGACATTGGTTTGTGTTGGTATAATGAGTGAGCCTCAGGTGTTTCCATTTTGTAAATACAATCATCATCATCTCTGCCCATTCTTGTCTCAGATTTCCTTCCTGTCATTCACTCTGTTAGCTGYTCAGATGTGCTGTTGTGACACATTAACCAACTGCTGAGCTGTATTTCATACACTTAAGCACACAAAAACACTTGAGAGCGGTAACAACAGACACACACTCATAACACCGGGCTCATCTCTCTCAGGTGTCACTGTGTGTGATCTCATCAGAGGGTCTCACCTTGCTCTCTCATTAGTCCAATCAGATGCTATTATGATCCTCTAATCAGTGTGTCAGTACAGTATATCATCACAGTGAGACAGGCTCATCAACCAGGGATGAGGTCATCTCTGTTCGACAGGGAAGAAGTTTGTGTTTCTGCAATTAGGCTTCGTCTAATCAGGCCTGYGACCTCATGTAGCCTGATTGCACATCAGTGTCACTGATACTTTTCACTTTGTTGATGTTGATCTTGGAAAAGAATGACTCACATCACGCTGTTGCCTAAGGGGCTTTTCCTTTTTTTAATTTTTTTTTAATTTTTTGCTTCCCTTCCTGCGTTTTGCTCCTGTCACTGTGTCTGCTGCATTCTTTGATTCTGTGAAATCTAATCCTTTCTGCTGCTAATAGCTCAATCTTGGAAATTTAAACTTGAAATTGTTGCTATCTCATGCAGAACTCAGCAAAAATACAGAAAGCCGCAATTTAAATTCAAGGAAACAAAATGAACTATRCATGTTTGCCTCTGTGAAGAAGTTTTATTCGCTAATTCATAAATTTCAAGAACAAAGGGCAAAAACACCTGTAATTAAACAGARATGTCTCAACCGTGAATTTTGATATTGTTTCCTCTACACCCGTTCATTTGATTAATACACAGGATGATGCACGGCAGTAAAACTGAGCTCACCTGTGACCACAGTTTCCACTTTATGACCCTTTCAAAATAAAATATCATAAAAGAAAAATAAATTGGGATGCTTTAAGTTGTTTTTCTTTTGATTTTTTCAGGATGGTAAGCGCAAGGTGTAGTGATAAAAAAAACTTTGGTGTACCTCAACTGGGGGACAGATGCAAACAGGAAAAAAAAAACCTGTCCTGGTGGTCCCTTTAATTTTTTGAAAATCATTTTAACTAGATCACAAATATTCAAAAATCACTTCCCATCACTAATATAAACTTCCATCCATCCATCCATCCATCCATCCATCCATCCATCCATCCATCCATCCATTCATCTATACCAGTTTCTTCCTTTCAGGGTCACAGGGGGTCATTGGTGCCCAATATAAACTTTAAATATTTTATTGTTTTGATTGAATTTATTAGTTTGCAACTTTTAAATGAAATTAATGTTTTAGGTGTACATTTGTACCACTACTAAATTTGATAGTAGTTTCAGAAGTTACAGGTATTGCCTCGAATGGCTCTCGAAAAAAAAATCATTCTGAACCTTTTTTAAGTAAGTGATGTTTCTATGTCTGGCTGATTGATCTGCTGAACTTCACAGGCATGCGGATCCTGGTGAACCTGCTGCTTGACACTCTACCCATGCTGGGCAACGTGCTGCTGCTCTGCTTCTTCGTCTTCTTCATCTTTGGCATCATCGGCGTGCAGTTATGGGCGGGGCTACTGAGAAACCGCTGCTACCCTGAGGAGAACTTCACCGTGTGAGTCCAAACTTGCACGTCTGGTGTTCTTCATCCTTCAGACTTGTTTTTACTGTACTGTACTGTACTGTACTGCACTGTACTGTACTGTACTTTCACCATATGTCAGCATCACTCTGCTGTTATTTGGTGTTTAAAATTTTACTGTTTGAATCGGGATATATTGCCAAACAAGAAAGTGAACCCCAGATGTGTTATTATTCACCTTTTTTCTGTCTCTTCTGCATTTCCATCTGTCTTGTRAACCAAAAACAACTGTAACAGTAGTACCCACCCCCACTTTTTTTACTACTGTGAATGTGATTAGCTTCCAGCTGCATGCCTTCATGTTTATGCCTCTACATGACAGCATCACCCACTGTGTCTGTGCACATGAGTGACATTCACCATTTCTTTTTTWATGCTTGCATCAGCTTGCTTCCAAGGCACATCCAGGATGTGTCTGTTGTAATGTGCATGTAAGCCACAAATCATACTTTTGCACTTTTGCGCAGCGCCTCTGTTTATGCTGACACAGCATATACTAAAAGCAGATCAAATAGCCAGATGAAAGAAGACACATGTCCACCAGCTGTGGCTGTTCTTCCTGTCTTGTTCTCCTCCTTCAAGTAAAGTGGGCTAATGAAGTTTCTTCATWACTTGCACTTTACTTTGATCAAAGTTTTCAATATTCTACATTGATGTGGCATGATGTAATTTTCTAGGTAAGCTGCTGTAAAGAGGCAGTTCATGAAGGGACAGTGCARGTTTTTGAAGTGGGGTTGTGTTGAAGGTTTTTGAACAATTAATATCTTATTCAAGAGTGTCAAACTCATTTTTACTGAGGGCCACGTAATTAACTTCCACGTTTTGTGTTTACCTTCAACTAAACACAAAGCATCCCCAGATAGCAAAATATGTTAATTCAATGTTGACTTATGGTCAATAAAGTTGATTTTTTTGTTATTGTTGATGATTGATGATGAATCAACCATCAAACAATCATCCAATTCTAGCCAAATAAACAATGTAATTGAATTAATGTTGTTTGGTGGTCAAATGATTGAAATGCCAACATCTAATGAATGTTGAATGAACATTGATACAGTATCAGTTATGGTTGAAAACCTAACATTGTTTCAACAAGTAAGTCACCGACCACTTTTTGTRTAATTTTAACATGGATTCAGTRTCATGGCTAACCATATTTCAGTGTTGATTCACTCATATTTTGCTATCTGGCTCATTGCTGTGGCTGAGCACTGCAAACAATAACAGAGCTCTATGTTGTATTTCCTGCAAAGAAACAGTGTTTAAACACATCCTCTTACAAACACTGAAAAGTATTATGTGTCTGACTGACTAAATGTGAAATAAATGATACAGAAATAAACGTAAGAGAGTTTTACTCACTGATGAGTAGTGGTGAGTAACCACCATCTTGAATTCTGAACTCTCCCACTTTCCAGCAGGGAATTCTGGAGTCATTCCAGTTTAAAGGTATGACCAGCACAACTGGGCTGCAGCAAAATTAACCACTGAAATTGCAGTGAAGCGGCAAGCACTGACGCGCGGGGCGTACCCGACGCGTCAAAACTGGACGCAGAYRGTCCCTGAACAAGCGTCAATATGTTGACGAGTCGGGAGTGAGAACGTGTTAGATTATGGTATAGAACTGAAGTATTTGCCTGGGAAATATATAATACCCTCTTTTTAAATGGTTATATTACTTAATGTTTGGACTCAGCTTTATGAATGTTTTTCCCTTCCCACTCTGATCTATGCATTTTTAAATGTGTGTGTTCATCTCACTGTGAATTGAGAATTGCTTAGTATTATCTCATTTGACATTATATTTCAAATTATTGCATTGTATCGTCATGGGGCTGGAGTGCTTCATTAGAAAGGTGTGTATTAATGCTTGAGGACTATTATGCTAACTAAAGGGCCTTATGTTTGAGAGGGTATAATAGAGTGGGCAAAGCGCCGCTGTCAAGTGCAGCATTTATTTTACAATTTTATACTCCCACTCTCCTTTTTCCTGATTAATTTTAATCAGTCTTTGCCTCTTACCATAGTTTTTTTTTCTTATAACGAGTAGGTTTGCCTATGTTTTATGCAAGTTTAAAAAGTCCTTCACAATTTCAGTTGTGGCAGATTAGGAGTCGTATGACTGTGTAATTTAAAAATACATTTTTATATGGTTTGCAACATATACACGTTTAAGAAATCTCTGACCACTTAATCGTCCCACATTTTACTTGAAAGGAGCTTTATTCCTACTCAACTGCTTCTGTCCATCCCTTCATCTCACTCTATTAGCAGGTGTGTTCTCAGTGTGATGCCATGCTGTGCAATGCCAAGTCTTCAACAGGGGGGCAACAACCTTCACTCATGCTCTGCTGTTCTTACTCTTTTTCTTCCATTTTTGTCTAGAATTTACCATTTTTTCATTCAGCTAGTAAAGAATTATATTCAAATTAAATCTATTTTTCTTTGTTTTATGTTTGCCTCTGTTTTGCGTCACCTACCCTAGTTGGAAAATCTATAGTTACATACTTAATTCAACCTTTCTGTGTTACAATTTATGTAGTTCACACTACTCAGAATAGGCAGAGTTTTACTTTGTTAGGGGAAGTAAATAATGAAAATGAGATTGAAGTTGTGTACTCCTAAGTTTTCAATGTCAGTTACATCTTTGAAAGCAACATTAGATCAAAARAATCAAAGAGAATTGGGAAATGAGCAAAAGGGTGAAAAGAAGCGCTAAAAAATTCTAAAGAGTAATATAAAGTGAAGTGGTTATTGAGGGGGCAAAAAAGTAGAGGGAATAAAAATCTTATTTGATGAATACACTTTAAGCCAATGTATGTTCAGTGTTTGATGCCGGGAGGGTTATGAGTGGACCAGGATAATTGCTAGGGCGTTTAAGATAGCTCACTGAGCTGCAACTGCTGGAGACTTGTTGACTACTCAAAAACTGTGAAAAACAAAAAGAAAAAAATTCTATTGCAGTTTCCCTGAATTCTGAGTATTTGAACAGTTTGTATTTTGGGGCTGATTGGGGCAAATTAACACAATTTTTTTACGCTATTATTTATTGTAGTCATTGTTGGTCCTGAACACTCAGATCTGTACTCTCAAATGGATTCTATCAGAGGAGAGCCCCAGTGCAGAAGTCAAAAAATGGCTTTAAACCTCTAGAAATTACAAAATTTTAATTCAAGCTGGGTGGGATGCCTACAACAAATCTGTGACTATTTTGAAAGAAAACTTGGTGCTCACATTTTGCAATCATGTTCAAAACTCAAAAGACAAAATAACAAGACGTTGCAGCTCACACAAGGAAACGGAGAACTCCTTCAAATGTTAGATTGATTTGATTTGATTTGATTTATTTATTTAACAGGAAAAGATTACTAAAAATCAAGCCTGACTCAGCATAGTTGCTGTGTTACAGCAGGTTCCTGTTCTGCAGCACATAAAACACTCAGAATTACAGCATCACAATCACATCATTATACACTATAGACACAAAGACAAACAAGCATACCAAATTTCAAAAAGGCAGCATTTGCAAAATAGGACGTCTAAATATGAACAAATGTGAAGCACTTTGGTCTACCCCATTTTTGTATGCTTTATAATTAAATTGACATTGACAAAACATATTTTATAT